TTATGTTCTTATTTGCTTGATTGTTCTTTGTTTTCATATAATTGACAAATTTAGCTTTTATATTTAAACATTGTTAACTAATCGTTGTCAAATGGTTGAGACCGAAATGAGGATCTAAAAATACATTTTAAAGAGTTTGGGGGTTTAAATGACGCATGCTAACAAGTTTTGAAATCAGTCATAATATAGAGTTACAAATAGATTTGAAGATAATTAATATACAAAGTTTATGTGAAAATCAAACCGTTCATAAACTTGAGAAGCTATTTTCATTCCATTCCATTTATCCATTCGGGTGAAAAGTATACACCCGGCCAGTTGGAAAAAAAAATCCAAAATTTGGAAAATTGGAACTTGCTGCTGCCGGACAGATGGCCAATTCCGTACTTTCACAAGGGCAAAAAAGAAAAAAAAAAGACGGGCGAGTCGGGCGCGCGAGGTCGCCGTCACGGCCCGAGAATCTTGACGCTTAAAACCTGACGTGAACGCGTCGACTCGCGACGTCCCAATGTCCCACGCTCCGGCTCCGAGGGGCAGATTCGCCATTTCACACCCGCGGGTGGCGGGTGACGAACCGGATGCCGTCATCTCCGGAAAAAAAAGGTTGCGATCCGGTGCGGGCGCCACACCCATGTGACCCGCTTGCTGCTGCTGCCCATCAACGGGTCAAAGCGTACAGCACATTTCCTGTCACAAAACAGCATGGTGCTTGGCTGTACCACTACTACTACCATCTTATTGCGTTTTGGATGAAGAATATGATTATTAGGTATAAAACTCAATTAAATTTTATAGGTATGAACCATGACAATTAATTTTATAATACAGTATGAGAATCGGTATACGAAAGATCATGTCGAGATTTAGAATATCACCTAAGAGAGTGTTTTTGGAGCTTTGCAAAACTTCCTAAGTTGGGTGACTTGTTATGGATTCCCTCCGTTTTATATTATAAATTGTTTGACTTTTTTTCTTATCAAATTTTGTTAAGTCTGGCCAAGTTTATAATAAAATTTAGCAATATATCTAAAATATTAAATTAGTTCCATTAATTCTATTTTTCATAATATGTTTACTTTATGTTAAAAATACTACTATATTTTTCTATAAACTTAATCAAACATGAAAAAGTTTAACTAGAAAAAAATCAAACAACTTATAATATGAAACGGGGGAGTATTTGGTTGTAAAGGTCACATCATAATCAAGCACTACATAAATAAAATAATAATAAACTAAAATGTGTTTAGTGTAAGGAGTAAAAAGAGAAGACGAAATTCGATAAGCAATAACTTGTTTCCTTCTTTCGTGGGAAAGCCTTTTTATAATTTCCCTCATCAAAATATATATTTCATTTTCCGCTTGTACTCCATGTTATGATATGTGACATGATATACTGTCTCCATGTTATCATGTCTTTTCATAATTCTGTGTGATAATTTTTGTACTATTTTTTTAAGAGGGAAGTATATATGAGAATGATCTCATGGCTGCCCATCGAACTTTCTTCAGAAAATAATTGAACTTGACAGAAACAGCATCTATTTTTTTTAGAAAAAAAAACCCTATAAATATCATTCATGCAATGCACTGGATCATAAACACCTCAGATTCAATCCCATCAATTAATTGACTTAACAATTGATTGAACATTTGAAAATAGGATGACGTTGAAATCCAAATTTTGTTCAAATGTTAGTATTGCCCAATTAACCTTTGAGGGACAAACTACTGAGAATTGGTGCCATTAAAGCATAGTACTCCCTCCTTATCATAATACAGAGGATTTTGACTTTTTATTTGCACTGTTTTGACCATTCGTCTTATTCAAAAAAATTGGATTGGAGTTATTATTTATTTTATTTGTGACTTACTTTATTATCCAAAGTACTTTAAGCATAACTTTTCGTTTTTTCTATTTGCACAATTTTTTTTAATAAGACGAGTGGTTAAACAGTGCAAGCAAAAAATTAAAATCTCTTATATTACGGAACGTAGGGAGTAGTAATCATCTCGTCTTGTCGATAGGTACATTGTGTCGCTGCCGACAACCAAGAATAATCTCCAGGACGTGTTTAAAGAAATTTATCTTTCCATTCATTTATGTTAGTCAGGCTGTCATTAACTGGCTTAATATTGATTATAAGCAGCTTATTAGAAAAAAAATAAACTTACGAGTAAAACTTTTACATATATGACCTGGACGATTTAAAATTCAATAAGAAAATAAACTTCAACAAAAACATCAAAATGAACTTCAAAAGGTCTTAACATTCCCATTTTAGTAACGGCTTATACGTTGTATGTCAAATAATAACTCCCTAACAGTACGTAGCATCACTCTTGCCTAAATGAATTACCCACTTACATTTTATCATCGAAATTTAGTACTAGAAATTAAGCATAACACTTGATAGCTACTATAAATCAACACTCCATAATGAGACTATGTAGCTACTCGGCTACTCCTTACATCGTAAAATATAGCAAATTTTAACTTATATCTAAATTGTGTTTAAGCATAGCAACTTTTAGCTTCTCTCTATCCCATAAAAATCAACTTAGCACTGGATGTGACACATTTTAATATAATATATATTTAGGCCTGTAGTATTAGAATGTGTCACATTTAATACTATAGATTCACTTTCTGTGAGACGGGAGGAGTATGGGAGTGAATTAGTGGCCACACCGAGATGCATAATTCTCTTCCGTGCGCACCGGATCAAGGTTGGTGGGGTCTGAGCAACACTAACTCGAAGGTCTGAGAGATGATTGGTTCCCACGCCAACATCTTTGGAGGGGCCCAGCCTTCCCGTGTTATTAAGCTTTCTTCACGTGATTTCGGCATTTTGGGCAAGATTTTGGGCTCGCCAAATGATGCGAAATCTCATAATTTGGCGACAGTTCACGATCGGAATTTTCCAGACGCCCTGGTTGCGACTTGGTCGATGCAATCCAATCCATCTCATCGATGGCTTCTCATTACACGAAACGAGGCTTGCGAAAAAAATGTCTACAAGTGGACATTTCCACCCAATCAAAACATTTCAAAATAATAATGCCTGTATTTATTTATGCTTTAGTATATACTACTAGTACGACTCTTGTACCAGAGCCTGTCCAGTCAAATTTATTTGACATTGAGAATACTAAAATTGTTCGGATGTGCCCGTAACCAGTACTCGGCACAAAGAGAGCAATGGGTACGAACGACCCGACTTATATGATATGTGGCACAAAACTTGTTTTTTGAAAACTGAAAACAAAGAGATTTTCAGTTAAAAGTAGTATGGCAAAAGCAAAACGATACCTTCATATATCAGAAAGAGATTTACAGATTTCTCATGGGATTAGGCTGACCACCCCCACTAAAACAAACAGCTTCCCCAATGCTACAGTCTACAGGTCGCTATCAAATATCAGTCGTGTGGCTGGCATGAGAGCAAGGCTAATAATACAACCGATGGCTATAAAATTCTTTGTAGACTTCTCTCAGCCTATCCATATAATAGTTAGCTCTTCACAATTAATACAAGGCCCACTTGTCTCTCTCACAGAGTTTCTTGGTTCTTGTGTCCAAGCCGGCTATAAGTTTACAGCCCGCTTCTCCTCTCTCTCTCATCTCTTCTCTCCTCCATCTCAGCATTTAGCTGGCTTACAGACTGCTATTATACTTGCTCTCAGTAGTAGTAGGAGCAATTAACATTTTCAGCTTGTGTGCCGTGGCCTAAATCTGAACAGAATTGACCTGCAAAGCTGCTACAGCCAAGCAACCGAACCCTATCTGAAACAGTGTGCAGACTGTGCAATTCTGAAGAAACAGTCATCCTCCCCGGCTTGGCTTTCATGTGAGGCATGCATGAGTGCATGACGCCCATTTCTTCTTTTCTGAATTATGAGCATGGTGACAGCTTTGCTGCTACAAATCACTGAAAATAGGATTAGGATTTGTTCTGCTTAGTTGATCTAGGCTTAAATGCTAGTATCGTCTTATCGACTTATCATGCCTTTTGGGATGTGTCATCATGGGTCTTTTTGATGCTAGGCTTAGCATTCTTATCCTTCTATTCATATAAGTATTGTTTATGCAATTATGCTTGTACGTCAATATATGACCAGTTAACCATTTTGACCCCCTGTTTCGTTTAAAAAAAAGAAAAAGAAGTGCTCCTTTTCAACTGCAGATCATTTACTTGAGCCCAGAATTTACTTGTGGCTCAACCAGTAGCATTTACTTGAGATCATTAATGCTAAACTCAGGGACAGAGACAGGAAGAGACGAGCAAGGGCTTGGCTTCAAAGTTTACACTGAGGGTGTGTTTAGTTCACGCTAAAATTGAAAGTTTTGTTGAAATTGGAACAATGTGACGGAAAAATTGAAAGTTTGTGTGTGCAGAAAAGTTTTGATGTGATGGAAAAGTTGGAAGTTTGAAAAAAAAGTTTGGAACTAAACTCGGCCTGAATCTACTAAATCTTTTGGTAAATTTCGGAAACTAACGCTGTTGCCCCCCTCTCAACCAATTCTTTTACCGTTTCTAACTCCGATGCTTGGGCCAAACTGGTCCTTGTAGTTGTAGTGCGAGGTTGACACGCACTTTGTTTTTCTCTGGGTTGCCGAGAGAATGATCTATCTCTCATGCTTGGTCACAGAAAGCAGCTTTGTCTAATGTACAGAGCACCCACTATGGTTGCCGAAAGGCGAACACTGTAATGGCATGAATGAATGCCAGTTTGGCTGGCCATGTGTTTGATTGGCCAGCTGCAGCAAAAGCGAAGGCAATGGTCGCATTAACAGCTATCCATGCCCTACATTAACAGCAGTTCCAGAGATGCATAATAAAGCTTTGCAACCAAAGAAAATAGGATTAGGATTTGTAGGTAAAGTTAACAAGAGTTCGTGATAGTAGCTAGTCTCAGAACAGAGGTCAGCAACTCAGCATTCAGCAATCAGAAAAACTTGCACAAGTTGAAGATATCTCAGCACAGCTGCAAGAGCATTTGAAACAAACCAGCAGGGGCAACAGATCAATGAATAAACATTGCAATTTGCATAGTGTTCATCAAGTATATATCTACGTGGACTGAAAATAAATGATGTTCTAACCTAAATTAACTAGCTAAGCTTGCCAAAAAAAAAACCTATGCCATGCCAATGGAGCAGAGGATGTTATTGTGGTAAGCTACTGTTATACACCTTATTATCTAAAGCTTAATAAAGACAAACTCCTCAACTGATGGTATGTCGCCGATCAACTTGAGAGCTTCCTTCTCAGGCTCCTCATCAACCCCAATGGCCATTATCGCCTGCTTTCCAGGAGCAGTCCTTCCAACGCTCATGAAATTCACATTCACATTCATCTTCCCCAAAATTGATCCTACCTTTCCAATGATACCTGGCTGATCAACTTGACGGCAGAGTATTAGGTTGCCCTCAAGACTAACATCCACACTGAATGGCCCAACAAGTGTGAGATGTGGTTTCCCATCCTTCACCTCTCCCTCCACTCTGATGTCACCTTCGTCAGAGAGGGCACCGGCGAACTTGGACTCTACATTGGCGAGATGCACCTGGATAGAATCTATAGGAATCTCCGGTGATCCATCAAGGAGGATTCTCTCTTCGCTGATGCGAAGGCCTCTTTGCTTGGCCACATAGTCAGCATTGACAATGTTAACAAATGCACTTGAAATGGGCTCGATGATGCCTTTGGTGACCATAGCACGGAGTACCCTTGTGTCCAGATCATCAGGGTCTCGAGATGATGAATATCCAATCTTCACTCCCTTAATCCCACTTCCCCCAGCTACAAGTTGCACGACAAGCCGACCTAGTTTCTCAGCAAGGATAACATACGGAGATAACTCCGATAAAACCTACGAGAAAATTTTAACATGAGAAGATTGTATAATTATGTGGAACACATAACAGTATGGTCCTTGGTAATGAAAGTACCTCAGCAGGGACCATCGGGGCATTAACAGCAGTAGCAGCTAATTCCCCTTTCAGTGCTCCAAGAACAGCCTCTGCAATTTCAAGGGCTACACCTTCCTATAGAAGCAAATCACGTCAGGTTGAGAGGATAAGCTAGTAAGATGTGGTATTAGCATAGAACGAATATCAATCCAAATAGCAAACCTGTGCTTCTGATGTACTAGCTCCAAGGTGTGGAGTGACAGTCACATGTTCATGGTGTACTAACTTGCTGTCTTTTGGTGGTGGCTCCTCAGTGAATACATCAAGTGCTGCCTGACTCATACCTCAAAGCAATCAGGAAAAAGGCTAAAACAACCTTTTCTGACCAACAAAAATGAATGTTATGTTGTATTTACATTAAAACACACTGCACAAACAACATGATATCAGGAGTTCACATCAACAATTCGACAGCACTATGTGTAATCAACAACAGGATGAATGACCATGACAAAAGGAATTACCTGTGAAACTGTTCCATTATCGAGTGCTCTCAGCAACGCGTCTTCATCAACTACCCCACCCCTTGCAACGTTAATAATCCTCACACCTTTTTTCATGTTTGCAAAAGTTTCATCATCGAAAAGCTTTGCTGTTGATGGTGTAAGTGGCATATGCAGTGATATGAAGTCTGCAGTGGAGATGGCCTCATCAAACGATACAAGGTCTACACCAATTGCCCGGGCTCTATCAACAGGAGCATAGGGATCATGAGAAATGATATCCATTCCAAGTCCTTTCGCGCGTCGTGCTACTTCTGAGCCAACCTTCCCAAAGCCCATAATAGCTAGCGTCTTTCCCACCAAAGAAACACCAACATATTTGTTACGTTGCCATTTGCCTGAGTATGTGCATAGAACCAAAGAGAAACATGATTCTGCATTAGTACATGTGTAGTATGTAGTGTCAAAACAATGTTTCAAAACTGTTGCTTAAGCATTTTATATCCATTAACTGTTACTGTTGCACACTTGTAATGTTGATAGGTAGAGATGTCCTGAAGTTTGAACCCAACAATGTGTGCCTCACTGCCTCTTGCTAACATTTACTAGGAGTTATATAATCAAGCCTGAATTTCAAATTTACTAATGGAACATGATGTTACTAAACTCTAGCCACGATAATAAATAAAATGGCAGCAGTTACATATTCCACACAGAGTAAAATGACAAAAGGTACTGCTAGGTAACTCATTACGGACCAGATCACTGATTGAAGTATTTGTTGAAACATTACCTACTAGAGGAGAACATATTTCCACATAGGAAGTTATATTGATCTTACCCAAATAAAGAGGAGAACAGAGCACATTTGCACAACATAGGTCCAGGACACGCTATCGTATACTCCTAGTCTCCTACACTGCTGTTCGTATTTTAGGACCACAAAACTCGTAATTAGTGCTGCATAATATCAGCAAACAAGTAAATCACCAGCTCCAATTAACTGATATCCTTACTAATTACTACAGCACAAATCAATTGATCTAGTACTTGCCATACAACAATCATTCAAACGTACACACCTGGGGTTCAATAACTTCAATCCCCGGCATGGCATTGAGTGAGAGCGTTCTTTGGGGAAACAAAAAAAAGAAAAGTGGAGTATGGACTACATTGTTTGTCAAGCAAACACAAGAATGTATGTGTGGTGGTGTAGTACTACAGTTGTAAGGCAAAACTACAGTTATAACTCGATCATGCCATTGGTGCCACCGATACTAAAACATGGCAAGTTGTGGCCTGCACATCATACCAGCATCACTTGCAACCTAACCATCAGAACAAAGCAATTTATATGCATCCATCGAAACAAAGATGCAGTTAAGCCTCCATGCAAGGTGAATCTCTTAGAATAACAACACGGACAAACGTATCAGTCACTGTTATGCAAACACGCAAAAGCTTTGGGCGTCATTTGTATTAGAAATGGATAGTCATTCACTGTAACCCACCAGTGTTCATCGATCAGAAAATACACTGGAATTTTGCGATAGCATTTTGCTGCAATATCTCTCTCCTAGTATTCTAGACAACTCGATGATAAGAATAACATGGTATAATGTGGTGACCTTAATTGTTTGGAGAAACGAGGGCGTACCGGCCTTGAGGGAGGCGTCGGCCTGGGCGACATTGCGCGCCATGGCGGCGAGGAGGGCGATGGCGTGCTCGGCGGCGGCGACGGTGTTGGCGGTGGGGGCGTTGACGACGAGGCACCCGGCCTCGGTGGCGGCCTGGAGGTCGACGTTGTCGATGCCGACCCCGGCGCGGCCGACGACGCGGAGGCGGCCGCGCGCGGCCTCGAACACCTCCCGCGTCACCCGCGTGGCGCTGCGCACCACGAGCGCGTCCACGAGCGACACCTTGGCGCGGAGCTCCTCCGCCGTGAGCTCGTACGCGCAGTCCACGTTCGCGAACCTCCGCAGCAGCTCCAGCCCCGCGTCGCCCAGCTTCTCCGTCACAAGCACCGTCGGCCTTCCCGCCGCCGCCTCCGCCGCGACCCCACGGGCGGAGGGCGCAGCAGCGGGGACCCTGCAGGCGAGGAAGAGGCGGCCGCGGCGGCGGAGCGGGGAGGCGCGGCGGTGTGGGGCCAGGGCTCCCGCGTGGTCGTGAGCCGCGTCGGCTGCGGCGGACGTGGACGGCGGCGGTGCGGCGAGTAGGTGGCAGAGCGGCGGCGCCAACGCCATGGTGAGCGTGTGATATCGGGATTCGGGGTTTGATTGTATATCGGAATCCGTACTCCGTTGCGGGGGAGGTGTCGCCTAGTTTGTGGACGACGATGGATTTGATAGAGGCGCATGTGGAGAGACGGATTAGTGTACAGGAGTAATGAATTAGTCCTCGTTGATAATACTCGTCGTTTGGAGCGAGATTATAGTCTCTAAAAAAATAACTTTGACCATTATTTTTATTGTAATATGTATAAAAGTATTAACAAATATATGATTTTATTAAATTACTTTCTAAGACTAATATGTAGTCATTATATTTGAGAGACAAATATTTTAAAAATGAATTATAATTAAAGATTCTAAAGCTTGATCTCGCTCTTGTCTAAAACGACAAGTATTATTAGTCTGGAGGGAGTAGTAAAAAGAAATAGTTAAAATTGAATTAGTACGATGTTTTAAAGCCATTATTTTATATACATTTTTTTTTAAAAAAAACATACTTTAACAATTTAATAAGTATATATGCGTAAAAAAGATTGAGTAGAAATTGAGAAGATATAGTATAAAACACAATCTTAACAACAATTTAAGTACTCAGTCCGTTTAAAAACAAAGGACAAACAGATCCATTTTGTCAATGGACTATTACCGATGAAATGACAACAGAAAAATATTTTTTGGCTCGCTCGCAGGCGGCCCAATCTGTCTTAAAATAGAATTATTTAGAGGCTAAAAATTCTCATGCGACTCAACAAAAAAAAAGCATACGTGTATGTTACTTAGAGCTGGATACCACTCTTGTAGACAGAGCCGGCCGTAAAGCTTTCGGGGATGACATCGTCGACGACGCGGTACCCGCCATTCTTGACGAGGAAGCGGACGGAGAAGGGGCCCTTGAGTGGCGAGCCGCTTTTGATCGTCCAGGTGTTAGACGATGATTCCTTCAGCGCCGTCCAGTCGCTGGCACCCTTCTCCTTGATCTCCACCTCAGAGATGGCGACGTTGGTGATGAGTTCCAGGCTAGTTGCGCTAGAGCCCTCATTAACCTTGAAGGTAAGCTCGGTGGCGTATGAGCCAACGACAAACAGTGTCGCCACTGCTGCGGCGAGCAGGAAGGAGGATAAGGAGGCCATTGCCAAGGTAGCTAGTTAGCTGGAGTAATCTTGTTTGTTTCTTGATAATAGAGGGATGGATCGATGAGTTGGGTGATAGATGTTGCAACAAGATATGTATTTATAGGTGGCGAGGATAAGAAAAACAAATATAAACATACGGCGCCCCATAAAGATCGTTAGCTGGTTTATTCATGACAAACACTTGTACAATGTCTATAAATAGATCCAAACCTGATAGTTCTGCTTGTCTTTCTGTCAGGAAAAAGCGCAGGGCATGCAGACCTCTTAAAAGTCAAATAACATGCATGTGGAAAAATAATTTTATGAGGCCTTGTCTCAAGCACATTGGTGAGAAACCATATTCACAAGTTGACACGTGTCCTCTCCCTAAATTCATTAATTAACGCATGAATTTAGTTGTAGGTTATCCTATGTGACTTGTTTCGAATATGGTCTATCACCAACATGCATGTGACCAGGTTTTACAAAATTATTTTTTTCATGTATTGTCCTCATCTCTTCTCTTTTTTTAATGAGTTACTATAATTTATCTTTTATTTGTATTATTTACTATACTTATACTAATTTTTTTCTATTTGCGTAAGTTGAATTTAAATTTACATGTTTGTGAAGTGATATATCACATATCGGTATATCTTATCAGCTTTCTATAACTTTTTAACTTTTTAGGTGACATGCATGCATGAAACAACGAGTGCACATTATTCCTCTAGTGAAAAAAAAACACTTTCTTACAAGTTGGGTACATGGAACGAGTTAATGATCAATCGAATGATAAAAAAGACTTTCCCTAGCTTGAGCCCCTACAAAATGTACAAATGCTCTCAGAATTAAGAGCGAGACTCAGAGAAGGGTTTTAGGCAGTATATATAAACCCGGCCATAATCGCAAATCACAACAAAAGAAGGCGATGTAGTGATGCACCAACCTAAGAGATCAATTATTACCCTTTCCATCCTAAAAATATAGCAACCTAAAACCAGATTAGATATTAATACTATGTTATGTTTAATTTGATCTGAAGTTGCTTCTACCTCCTTTTCATACTACAAGTTATTTTGATTTTTTTTATAAGTTAAACTTTTTAGATTTGACTAAATTTATAGAAAAATATAGTAATATTTTCAACACAAAACAACAAAACTATCAAAATATGTTCAATGTTAAACATAATGATCAGTGTTACAAGTATTGTTATATTTTTCTATAAACTTGGTCAAACTTTTAAGAAGTTTGACTTAAAAAAATCAAAATGACTTATAATATAAAACAGAGTGAGTATATTTCAAGACGGATGTAGTAGTACCCTCGCAATTTTGTCAATTTTCTAAATACTACATGAGATAAGCATTTTCTACATTCCCATGTTAAACTTCGTTCTGCATGCCAACGATGGGAGCATGTCTAGTCAAACAGAGTCTGGCGCGGCGACACCATGGTGCTAAGGGTGTTATTGGCTAACCTGCGAAAGACCAAAATAAATCATTTATTCTAATGTTTATTTTAACTTATAAGTCGATTCGCGAGTTAACCATTTACACCCTAACCTGACGCCGTCGGGGATGCACTCTGGCGAGCGATCGACAGTTGGCCGTCTCTCCAACCCTCCAAGTGGCCGGTCCCCTATCATCGTCAAGGCCACACCGACGCGCATCCCGTCCCCTTTGCAGCTGCATTCCAAGTTGCCAACCAACCGCGGTGTAATGTAACCGGTTACCCAACTAAAAAGCATCCTAACCTAACTGGGCCCCCTCCCCACTTCGGGCCAAATGAACGAACGAGCCACACCAAAAGGCCCAAATGCACAACAAGGCCATGTAAATTTTCACAGGAGAAAAGGGAAGAATTTTTTTTATTTTTAATTTTTTTATTAAAAGTTTTAAAAAAATAATTTTTCATTTTGAAAATTGACAGAAGTGGTCGCCTACCGCCCTCTGGGAGGGCGATTTTTAAAAATCGCCATCCCAGAGGGCGGCGAAAGTGACGTGGCAGACGGCCGTTCGCTCTCGGGCGACGGCCGTCAACGAAATTTGCAGGCGGCCCCCTTGCCGCCCTCCGCTAGGGCGATTTTGTACTGTGCGGGGGGCCGCCTGCAAATGGGCGGCGGGGGGCCTGGAATTTTGCAGGCGGCCCCCTTGCCGCCCTGGGGGAGGGCGATTTTATACTGTGCTTTATATTTTTGTATAAATATCAATAGTTATCAAATCTTTTTATATTGAAAACTATACAAGATTAAAATCTCCAAGACCGGTAAAATACAATTTTATTATTTTTTAGGGCCTATTTGGAATGTTACCGTACAAATATTTTGTTAGTGCCAAAATATAAGCAAGTTTTGGCACTACCAAATATTTGGTAAGGTAAAATTGCATTTGATCATATTTGGTTTGCTGCCAAAATGTAAAATTGTAGTGAAGAATGTTCTACATAATCTCAAATCTAGATTACGTATTACCAATGAATAGGCTTCAATCGAAATCAAACACAAGTACTATTCAAATTACCAAAATATTGGTAGGGCATGTTTTTGGTAGCAATCCAAATAGGCCCTTAGTCTTACGCATACAAAAAATCACCACCATAATTAAACATTGTAATGATAAGATAGATAAGAAGTGCCATCGATACACGGTACAAATTTGTCGATCCCGACGAATCAAGCATGCGGTAACCTATCGGCCCCTTCTAGGTCGGTCAGAATGCATTGCATTCTCGTGGTCCTTCAATCGTTGATACTCTACTTGTGTTTCTGACTCTGTTATCTTCTGGCCATGATATGATGGAGTGACATTGTCGATCCATCGAGTAAATCCACCCATCCTTGGATTGCCCTGTAAAAATAGTAATGTTATTCAGTTTGGGTAGTAATTTTGTGCAAATCATAGCGGATTTTGTAAATGGTTAGACATACAACGAAATCGTTGTCTACATTGGGGCAGACAAAATATCTCCTTCGAAATGTTTGTTCAGCAAAGGATGTAGCCACCTGCCAGCGATCTCTGCACCCACACTTTGGACACTCGGACCATTTAGGTAACCCTAATGGATTGTTCCTCCAGTCTAAGCTTGCAATTTCCACCCGATGTTCGTACTCCATCCAAGCATGAATGAACTGTATGGTCGGTTCAGGTTGCGTTATCGGCCCGCCACTTGAAGTAACTCTGACTGTGTCAATCCATTGTACGAATTGACATTTCCTTACATCCTCCTATGTACATCCATTTTGGGATAGTTAAGTTAATGATAGTACTGAGGAGTGATGAAAAGAATAGTTGTAATTACCACGAAATCATCGTCGACAATGTTTGGACACACGAAACACCTTTGTCCTCGAGTTCGGTGCCTTACGGACCTTATGACCTGACAACGGTCACCACAACGACACTCCGGACGCTCACGCCACGTGGGGAGTCCTAGGGGATTTACGTGCCATTCTAAAGCCTCAGCAGCAATTCGACGTTCATGCTCATCCTTCCGCCTTAGGTAGTCCGATCTTGTTTCACTACGTGGGTAAGCACGGGTTCCGTCGTTTTGTGGGTTCTCCATGTCTACCCACTCGATGAAGTTGCACATTGGACGATATGTCTGCGTAAGATGTTACAATTGTGTACGAAGAAGTTAGTTTTTTTATCCATTTGAACTTCGAATAGATGAAGCATACCTGATCAAAGTTCGCGCATTGGAAGAATCTCCTGCCCCGAGTTTGTATCATGAGGGAAGACTTGAGTATGCATCCATCCCCACAATCGCACAAAGGACGGTCACACCATGGTGGAAACCAACCAGCAAAAGGATCGCTTCGCCAGTTGAGACGCTCAAGGAATGGCGCTTCCATTTTCGTGTGTTGTGTGCTAGTGGGAAAGAAGATATGAAGATGTTGCCTTCAGATTGTCAATTATATAGCGTCGTTTTCACTGCAATATATGTGAACTCAATGAGATACATTATTCATTAGATGTGACAAGACGATCACGCGTGGGCGTGATTCACTTTATGTCAACAGGCAGCGCCGAAAGTTGATAGTGACAACTCGAGCTGCCGCTTTTCATGTGTGCTGTTGTGGACTGTGCGCGCTACTGGATCTGACACTACCGTGAAGCGCCGAAAGTGTGTTGTCGTGAGCATAAGTTGTTCTAGCACCATATGAATGAAAAGAACTATGTAGACGAGACAAACACAAGTAGTACTGCAGTAGTAATAGCAAAAGTAGTACTGCTTTACAAGTTTGTAAGCCAAAAGAAACGGTCACATAAGGACTGAAGAGGTAGAACACTACTGACGAGGCCTCTTACCCCTGTCCCTCCTACCCTGCGCCCTAATGTGCCCCTGGGAGTACGTGAGTCGGTCCGGGGGTACGGCACGGCCAACCCGTCCTGCCTGTACAGGTGTGACCTCTGGCTGCTCCTGAGTGTGCGCCTCTGGAGCTCCTCCAAGCTGAGAGGAGCCTAGTACGTCGTGGTGGTGTGCACCGTGCAAGTCGTCGTCGTAGAACTGGCTAGTAGGACCAGTCCTACCGGCGTGAGACGAAGAGGCCCCAGTACCGAAGATCCCGGCTGCAAATCCTGCTGGACAAGGACCATCAGTTTCATACAGGTATTTAATAGTATTAATAAAAAGTAAAGTACCGTGTGGGCGAGGGATCGACGCTCCGTGAGAGGAAGAGCTGGCGAACGCGCCCGAAGAGGTGGCGAACGCCCCTGCGGAGCTCGCGGAAGCGCCGGTCGTGCCTGCGAACGCGCTCGAAGGCAGACGAGGTCCTGTGATGAGGAAACGTGCCGTTAAAACATGGTGACATATTCGTGCAAAAGCTGAAACAAAAATGAACTAATCTCTGGGCTGAACTGTACCGTGCGAAACCGGTGCTGTAGGTCGCACTGCTCCGAAGCTAGGGGCGCTCGAAGGCAAACGAGGTCCTGCGAGGATGGAACATCAAGTTACGACGGGGTGATGTTTTCGTACAAAAACAGAAACAAAACTTAAGAAACCTCTGGGCTGAGCAGTACCGTGCGAAACAGGTGCCGTAGGTCGAGGTCCTGCTCCGACGGTAGGCGCGCGAGGCCGTGGTTGTACCGGACCAGCTGGA